TAGGCTTGCGCATATATTTAACATACAACCAAAGAGGGATTCAACAGCCAAATGGGGGGAATTCACTTGCAATAAGGATTAAATTCAGATAATTAAATAGTCATTCCTTACTGAGTTCTTGTTTGCCTTAATGTAAGTAGCTGGCAACCTATTGCTTATCGTGCTGTTATTTCAAGCAATATATATTGATTCATTATGATATGTAGGCCACTAGTGATCATCAGACATTAAATTCGTGGCCGTGCAAAAATCATTAATTCCTATGTAAGAGGGGACCTATGATTGTTGTGAGCCTTGACAACATATGAACCGTTCGTAAGAAGCAGATTTTTAAAATTTTTATTCTTGTGATATTTTGGGCCCAGGGTTCTTTGGTCGAAGGTAGGTGGAAAAGGTTGAATTACTACATTAGCGGTTGTGTATCACTCCAATGAGTTAATATTTTTGAAGCAAGGATTAAGGCCTAATGTGCCACAGACCACCGACTTCGCTTTTTCGCTGCAGATTGTCTTTGGGTCAGGCTGGGAGCCGTCCATCCCCAAGTGCGCCATCAACATATCCAACCATGGAATTTTGGTTTATTGAAATTTTATCAACCCACCTAGATTTGGTCAATCATCTAGCCTCATTATTTAGCTCTCTAGTGTGTAAATAGTTGGTCAAGTTTATTGCGCTCTTATCCGTTTGCTTTCAAACTAATTTTATATTTACTTGCTGTAACTATCCTCCCTAAAGGTTGTGGCACTCAAAAGCACTAGCAAAATTGATGTTTTGAAATAATTTGCATTTATTCTTTGTATTCGTCATAATTTTACCTCGCTTAAACATTGCTCTTTCTTTTATATATATAGAAGTCGTTTATCGGTGTCCTTGGGACCTTTAGATACGGCGCATTTCCTAACTGCTATCTGCTAACCAAACTTTGTCATGTCTTGGAGAGAAATGCGTAACTTCTCAGAAATGATGAGGGCACTTGAATATGCTCGCCTTATATCCTTAGAGAGTTTTCGCGCTCCAAATTTTTCGCTAATGGCGGAAATCTTGAGGTGGTTAGCCTTGCGCTTCGATCCGAACGCCGATATACCAAAATTTTTGGATACCGAGCAAGATCGCGTTATTTTTGTCAAAGTAATTGTTCAATTTATGGTGGTAAAGGCATTTATTAAATTAAATGCCAAGAGACTTTACAAGGCAGATGGTTACGCTGTTAAAGAAATGTTGAAAATAGTCAAATTTCTGCATTCCTCGTTAAAATTTTGTGAACAAACGGGAGATGATGAGCAACTTAATCTAAATTTCGCTGAAATTCTGAGCATTGAAAGAGTAAGTTGGTGTTCCAAAAATGCCGAGTCATTTTCTTTCCAGTTGAAGCAACTTCAACATACTCGTTTCTTGGCCAGTCAGCTAACATCGTCAGGTGCATCCCTGTATTCCCATATGTCCCGTGAGGTTGACTTTCGCCAAATTCGAAACGATGCAATTCATCGACAGTTTGACATTGAATTTGTCGAGAAATGCCTTTCTGGTGCCTGTGATGCAGTTCGGGACGAAATCGCAAAGACAGAATCAGCTTTAAATAACATTAGAACAGACGAAAATAATTTGGATAGAAAAATAGAAAAAAAGCAAAGTGAATTGGAGAGAAATCAGAAGAGGCTTTTGACACTACAGGTGCTACAATTGTAAAATGATAGATTAGTATACTTTTTTGATAAAACCAATTTACTTGTTCCTCTATAGTCCGTTCGTCCCGCATATATGGAAGAATATGAACAGCTTGAGGAAGAGCTTAATGTATACTATGAAACATATCTTACACAGTTTCGTAATTTGTCTTATTTGGAGAACTTGAAAGAAGAAATTATGCGTTCTGAAGATACTAAAATCCCGGAGGATGAAGCAGCTATCAAATCTGCCGTTGAAGAACTGCGGAGAATAACTGATGTAATTCTAAAGTTTCTTATTTAGTAGCTATATATGTTCGTATTAGCTATGATCGTAACCCACCTCACTGCATTTTACTGCTTAAAACTTTTCCATTTGTAAATGCTATTAAGTGCACTTCATTTTTTAAGTACACATATTGCTACATGTGGTTTTTCACTAAAATATTGTTAGGTCAACAAAGTTTGAAAAAATTGAGCATCTTCATAGGCAAGCTATTCAACTTAAGCTATGAGGCAATAAAATAACAAAAGTATTAAAACAGAAAAATCTGGAAATCAGGGCATTTTCATTGCGTCAAACCCAATCCTACTGCATTCCAATATTTGATATGACTAGTTAGACCTATTATTGGTTATTAAAATTACTACATTTATATCGTTAGCACTTCACTTCAAAGTAGACAAGATGACTCAAAGATTCTGTAAGTACTTATACATGGTCTCCTTTTATTAGGAATTTTAAATATTTATGCTGAGTCATAAGTCTTAATGTAGAAGTAATAGTACATAATTGTTCTGCTACATTGCTGTACAATAGAACATCGTTCTTATTCAAAAAGATTGTACATTTAAAATTCATCTGAATTCTTGTCGAAAACATTTAAAACCCTGAATACCGACGTTTGAGTGAGTCTTGAAATGTACACGCCTACCAGGCCGCAGGGAGTCTCCTCCACATCACCGATGGTGGTGTCGGTGAGAGCATGTTTTCGTTGAAGGACAAGTCCGCCCAGAGCAAGAGAAATAATGCGATTGAGTTTAGCAATGCAAATGCAGAGCCTGGCCTCGGATTGAGCGAGGATTCTGAGGGCATTGGATCGGACAAGTCGACCTCGAATGGTGACGAAGAGGAGGAAGGAGATGATCAGGAGGAATCCTCCACCTCTTCTGACTCAGTCACCAGTGACAGTGAAACGGAGAGCATAATTGGCGGTGATCACGAGCATGGCACAAATGACAACGACGATGTTATCAAGGGACTCAGTATTGTTGGTACTGGCTATCGAATGTCCGGCACGTGGTCACCT